AAAGCTTGATCAACACCCTGCTGCAGAACTCCATTCAACATCCTTCAATCCTTCAGGTTTCTTCTCCTTCAAAGCTTGATCAACACCCTGCTGCACAAGAATATCTTGAACCGTGCACTCCTTCAGGTTTCTTCTCCTTCAAAGCTTGATCAACACCCTGCTGCACAAGAATATCTTGAACCGTGCACTGTCATACTGTAGAATTTGTCTTGCCGTTGAATAGCGAAATATCGAACTTCTAACCCGAAGAAGTCATCATCCTCTAACTACAATCAAAATTCAAATCACTCACTGTAGAAATTAAATTTGTTAAAACTGACATAAAAAACGAACTCAGCACGTTGAAAAACCCTAGGAACGACTACTGGATCACTAAAATCCGCATCCAAATCCTCGACCAAAAGACAAATGAATCTGCATCGTCGGATTTGATTTAAAAGTTTGTAAGCAAACCCTCACCCACGTGAACAGTATTCCCGCCACCGCTACATTATTCACTGCTACAATACAATTTTTTTGTTTCCCCTGATGTTGATCACAATGCTTCGACCACTGACGCCTTCACCAATCGCACACCAGTCAAACCTCCATGAACCGTCGAACCCCGCTCTGATACCACTTGTTGGGATTTTTAAATATCGTAAAAACCCCAAAAATCACCAAACGTAGCAAATAGAATTACACGAGATTTAACGTGAAAACCCTCAATAGGGAAAAACCACGGGATCAAAATCAATCCACTATCACCTCCAAATTATAATCTTTTACACGGACAAAGACTGTCAAACCTTCTCTCTCACAATACCCTTGAACCTGGTTACACCCTCTAAAACCATGATTACAAGAATATTGTCTCTCCCCTTCTCTCTACTCTCTTTGGTTTTTCCTCCAACAATAGAAGAATATATATAGGGAAACCAAAATTCTATCTCTAGTCTAATTTTCTAATTAGAATAGGATTTAAATTCCTAATCATGATGAGACTCAATCTCATAATCATGATAGATCTCTAACTCTATCTAACTCTCATGAAGTTATACAAAGAATCAAAGACACAATCCTAACTTGCCCGCCAAGTTAACTTGGCCTCTAAAAACTACTAGGATTGGGCCTAGCTTTCAAACCCACATCCGACTTGAAGTTTGAGTTGGTACCCAACACTTGCCCCAAGTAATAAGCATGAGCAAGTCTACAACATCACATTAAAGCCCATTAATGGAGCGCAAAGTTTTCTTTAGCAAGTTATGAAAAAGTCTTGTAGAGAGATTGTGTGATTCAATACAATGTTTCCGATCATAAAAATCGGTCTTGGTAAGATCTTTCGATTGGTACTCACTTTATAGAAAGTAACTTCTCCCAAAATTTTGTGACCGAAGATGATGGTTAGTTAATTAGATGCATGAGCGATATAATCAACAGTGTTCAACCAATTAATATTTAAGCTCCTCCTTGTTGTCTTTCGTTCCTCCTGCAGTGAGAGAAACAACGATTTGGTATTCGCCGTATGACTATTTTCACTCCTAGTCGAGTTAGTTTCTAACAGAAAAGGCTAACTTGGACTAATTTGGGACAAGTTGACTATTTTCACTCCTAGTCGAGTTAGTTTCTAACAGAAAAGGCTAACTTGGACTAATTTGGGACAAGTTGTAGGTTTTGAGGGATTTGTTTAAAAATATCTAACAGAAAAGGCTAACTTGGACTAATTTGGGACAAGTTGTAGGTTTTGAGGGATTTGTTTAAAAATACATATCAGGATTTGGAGGACTTCTTTCAAAACGCATAAGATTTGAGACACCAATATCTCAAAAACCCTAAACTATATAGCTAACTTTATTGATTTAACAATTTACTAAACTTCTAATTTACTAACTAAATTTGTAGTTATATTGTCATAGTTTCTATTTACACAATAAGTAATTTGTCACAATCCTAATTCACGTAGTCCACGAATATAAATGTAGTTCGAAACTCCAGCATTTTGTTGAAGAATTCAATCGTAAAATTTCAAAAAGTCTATCTAATATCTAGCACAAATTTTTTTAGTCTTATATCAAAAGTCTAGGATGTATGATTATTGGGCACTTGTCCTAGCATAACAATCCCAAACATATAAGCATCCTCCCAATTTAGAGCTTGTCTGGTTCTGCCATTTTAATAATTTTTTAGAATATCTTCTTCTTCTTATTTTTGTTTGTTTTGTTTGAGGGGACATAAATTTATATAAAGAAGTATTCACCGAAATTGAGACTTTTCTTTGGAATCCATTTTCCTAGCTTTTGAGCTTGGAAATGGGATGAAAGTCACTTTTAGCAATGAAGTATATAGAGAGGGAAAAAGTGTTTTTTGGTTATAAGGGGCTGTTTGTTTGCCTTATAAAAAGGGAAATCAAAGAAAAGGAAACCTATTTCTAAGAAAAATAGGTTTTGGGATTGTTTGGTTAGCTAAAAAAAAAGGAAATCAAAGAAATGGAGATGAGATGAGATGAGTTGTCACCTTATTATAGGATGATGCGAGTGATTTTTTAAGAAAACTTGTTTTGATGTTGTTTGGCTGGCGGAAAAAAATAAGGAAATGAAGTATAAGAAACCTATTTCTTGTAATAGGTTGTTTTCTTTTATTTGGTTATTTCTTAAAAATAAGAAAATAGATGAGATGAGATGAGTTGTCATTATATTATTGGATGATGTGACCCTCACTTAAGGAAATTGTTTTCCTACCTTTTTGGGAGGAAAACAAAGAAATAAAATATTAATGAGATGAGATGAGTTGTCACAATCTTATTGGATAATGTGAATGATTTTTAAATATGAGATGAGATGAGTTGAGTGATGTTGTGGATGAAAATAATATTTTATTAGATGTGGTGGATGTGATGGATGAGTTGTTGGATGAAATTAATATTTTATTAGATGTGGTGGATGAGTTGTTGGATAAAAATAATATTTTATTAGATGTTGTGGGTGAGTTTTAGGGATGAGAATGTGTGAAATTGTACTTTTTGAGATTTCTTGGTTTTCATTTCTATTTTTTGGTTTTTTTAGGAAATAACCAAACAGGCCCTAAAAAATACTCTGACAAGGGCTTTAACCGCATAATTGCAATCATGTTTTTTTACATATTAATCCCTCAAATCTTTAATAATTTCATATTAGTCTCTCAACTCTTAGAATTCCATGTTAGTCCCTCAAATCATATGACGTCATGCGAAATCATCCCTATGATTATTTACAATTTATTTGAGTAGAATATTCTGTCAAATCTAAATATTAGAAGCAAAATTAGGGCTTTACTCCTCTGTAAACTTTCTAAATCCATTTCATAATATTTTCAACCAAAAACCCTCTTTAAAAAAAAAAATCAAATTCACTTGAGTTCTTTCCTAATGGTCATAAAAATACCGTAACTCAAAATTTCTCATTTAAGGAATCTATCATCTTCTCCTCCATTGTTTGAAACATTAAAGGAGATGATTTTTACATTTTTTTTAAGAAGAGGGGGTAATGTGATAATTAACAGTGTTTGTCTTGAAGTCAACCCAATCACGATTTTGTTTTTTCATTACCAAACTAACGTAAGGTTGATTTCGCAAGACTCGGTAGGATTGGAGGGACTAATATGCAATTCCAAGATTTAAGGGACTAATATGCATTGTCAAGATTTAAGGCACAAATTTGTGATCTTTGAAGATTGAAGGGCCTAATACCAAAAACCCTACAATCAATTAATTTATTTACCTTTACCTTTCTTAGTACCATGAATTCCTATTTTTGGGCACCTATATCCAGACGATAGAAGAACAAAAAGTAAAATTTCCCCTATTTTTGGGTTAGATCTGAAACGCGAACGAAAACCCTAACTCTGGTGCCGCCGCCGCCGCCGCCGCCGCCGCCTC